CGTTGACCGCATAGTTAATCTCGTCTTAGTTACAGCCACGGTTTCATATCAATTAACTCTTCATTTTGTGTGAACTGTTGGACAAACGGGATTTGTAACTAGAAACTGGAGGACTGACTTGGTGTCGGGTTATTTGATTTGTCCTGCGCCCCCGACAAGTTCGTGCGCAAAGTATTTCTATGCACCAACCAATATGCCCAACCTAAAAGCAATCTCCGATAGGTTTTCAGTGAAAATTTATTATGGATCTCTTCCATCAAACTTTTCGCACGGCAGAATTCTAATGGCGTGAAATCATAAAGGGAGTCTTATGAGCACAGTTTTCCTTCACATTCTAAAGTCTACGACTACGCATATGACATAGTCTGACCACTAACTTCTCTGGTAGTATTGATAGCCAGATAGAGTTAGATGGATAGATCGAAAAGCAGGGCAAAAGCTTGCAAATAAGAGCGAGATGTTCTGACTAGGTTGAAAAGGGAGTTCCCCCAATCCTGGTTGGTGCTTTTCCCCTGTTCTTCGCTTAAAACTTGATTGTTTCCCTCAGACGAATGGCCTACTTGCTCTGGAGAAAAGAAAAGTGAGAGAGTGAGACAGACTACGTGAGTTAGAAGGGATTGGAGGCAAATCGACAACCAGAGTATTTGCAGATGCTACTTTTTCGCCTGGGAAGACTAGTCTTAATTCATCTCCGAACTGCACTCTTCCAGAATTGGGCGAGTCAAAAATGAACCTGCGTTTCCGTACTCTATTACTTCCTCAGTATGTCGGTTCCTACTCGAGTATGGAGCTAAAGCAATATAGGGAGTATGATAAGGCTATTCTTCAGAGGAGAACGTTGTCCCGCATGCCGAAAATCTTCATGGGCTCTGGGGCCGAAATTTTCCTGCCTTCTCAGTGCAAAGGGCGTTTGAATGCAGAGCGACCCATAGTGAATCCAGGTAGCTTTGTAATCCGCCTTGGATACAAGGCCGAGCCAGCATTGACCTTATTATACTTGGTAAGCTGAGACAGGTAGTGTGTCAGTTTGGCATTGTTTTTATGTGTGGTTCTTTGGCGTCAGCCAACATTAATCGTTTGTAAAATCCCTGATTAGTGTGCGAAATGCTTGAGGGGTGATTCATAGCCTACTTTCCACGGCATTTTATGTGAAAGATGGTCACTATGGTTGTAGAGATCCTCGACGTGCCATCGTAACGATTGTTAATTAGCCTTTATCTTTCTGACCTAAAGGTCATTCTTAAACTTACTCCCGCTTCTATATACGATCAGAAGATGTCTTGGTACATTCAGCTCTTTATATAATTCGATGCAACTTCCTACTTGGAGAGACGTCCCGTGCCTTAGTTAGCTACCATTTTTCATTTATTCTTCCCTTTTTAGTTTTTTCTTTGTCTAGCTGAGTTGTCTAAGAGTCGTTTCTTTAATTGTTCACAAAAAAAGACAAATTTTCAGCTTAACTGCGAGCTTAATATTAGGTCTCTTATCTTTCCTCTCTTTTGTAATATTCCCGTTGAGGGTATCTATTGCTACAGTATTAAGCTTAATTTTGTCTTCACTAACAATGGCAGATCAGTCCTGGATCTGTTGGCCAGCTTGATATAGGAATATTCTTGAATGCTTTTCAGTTTAACAATTCCAGGAACTCTGACTACAGACTACCCGAGGATATTATTCCTATTTTCTTAGATGTAATTTGAAAATGTATGATTTTTTCCAAGTTTTTTTGGTTATTGCGCATCCCAGTGACATTTATATAATGAAAGATTTACGCTTCATCTGTTGGATGCATGATTTGGATTTCATTAAAATGAAAGTGATTTTTGGCGAGTGCTAAATTTACTTATAGGTCCACCATCTCTGCGTAATCCATCCTACTTTTAAATACGTGTTATCAAACTGGCATGGAGGCCTAATTTGTTTAACTAATGCTATCAGAAATTTTGAACCATGTGGCTTCGTATTGTCTAACGGAAGTTACCGCAAAAATGTAGTCTTAGCCACGCTTCTTGTGATTCAATAGCTTTCGGAAACAAGCAATGAGGCATCCGATGCCGATTTTACTTAATTTATCAAAGCGGCTGATAAGTTACTCAGACTGAAGTGGCTTCTACAGCCAAGTTATCTCGACACAAGATAACGATGACTGCCTACTCGTTTAAAGAAAGCGGTTTTCCTCCGAATACAACTAACTTCGTGCCCGAGGAGTTTTCCAGACGAGATTATTCTCGATTTCAAAGCTCCTACGTTGAGAGTAAAACGAAAATTTGCTTTAGTTTCAGCACTCGCCAAAAACGTCTTTCATTGCAATGCACATCGAACCAAATTCATACAAGCCGTGTTACAAAAGTATGAATCATTGTCACCCGTGAATGTGCAGGGCAATCATAACGATGCCATGACATTCACCATCAGGTGTCTAAAGCTATTGGGGTTGCTGAGGCGAGACAGGGGGGTAAGGCTAAGGCTGCAACCCAGTTTGTGTGAAATTGCCTTTGGGAGGCAATTCCCGGTGAAATTGAATGCCCTAATCATCTAATTGTAGGAAATCTCAACTATCAGTCCTCAGAAGTTGTTTGACCTTGTTTTTGCAACTTGGTCATATAGGCAGGGAGACCTAGAGGAACGCACCTCGTCCGGAGTCCATAGTATGCATGATAATTGCCAGTCGGACCGTGGACGTGATACATTCTAAGACGCTTTGCCAGCATTGTCAGTGAGCCTTGCCAGTCTTAGCACCACACTACAACCCGTCAAAGAGACAAATGAAGTCGATCCTTCGACCAAATGGTTTCCACATCCCTAACACTGTGTCGGAAGTGGTTATCCAAAGCTGCGGCTTAATCCGCAATCCTCCTTCGGTTCCTATCAGAGTCCCCTCCTGCCCCTCAGGATCCTTCCCTTATCTGCTTGTTTCACAAATTTAACTCCATCGCTGCCGTCGTATCCGTGCTACTCAATGTGCTGTGTGGCATGCTTACCGAGTAAATCTCGTGGTGAAGCCCTTACTTCATGGACCACGTCTACTAATAGCGAGAAAAAAGGTAGTGGCCATTTCTAGTTGGCTATCATTAGATAAGTTTGCTCATAGACGTTGTCCATGAAGTAAAGGCTTGACCACGGGATTTACTTAGTGCACATGCCACACAGCGACAAAGGAATCTGCAGCATCAAGTTAGGCTGCTATGCCAAATGAGAATCAAGACTTTGGAGGCTTGCTCATGGAGGCTGGGGTATACGTG